TGCTGCAGTGATCAGCTCTCTTGCCTGTGCGCGGTGCATTGTGTGCCTAGAGCACTGTTTTGAATATTAGTGAAGATGCACGTGTGCTCTGTTTAACCAAAAACTGACATTAGAAACAGGAGTTGGAGAGGTTGGAGATTCCTCCAGGAGACCTTTTCAACAGTGGGATTCTTTTAAATCAGGGGTGGGGAATGTCCAGCCAACAGGCTGTATAAGGCCCACAAAGTCATTTGGTCTGGCCTGCCAAGGCATTAGGGGTGAGTTAATTAAACGTTTGACCAAATACAGCAGGCTAACTTTTAAGCTGATACTTTTGTATGGCCCGTGGATGATGTTATAAATAGCCAAATGGCCCTTGGCAGAAAAAAGGTTCCCCACCCCTGCTTTAAAATTTATCACAACTGTATCCTTCCAAATGTTATTTGGCTTAGGAGATTTTCGTTTTCTATGCGATATAAAAGCCATTCTTTAGCTTTTTATATCAGTTGTAAAATTTTGGGCAAAGTTACTTAATCTCTGTGGGCCTCGGTCACCTCATCTGTAAAAGGAGGATCATATAGTACCAGTAACCGAGAGACCGCATATGAGAGAGCCCACCGCAGCTGCTGGTGGGCCTGGCTGGGCCTGCAGGGCCTGAGCACAGAAGGCTGCGCTGGAACGAAGACCCCAGGGCGTGAAAGGCCAGGCTCTGAGCAAGGGGCTGGCCCCGCAAAGCCTGCTTTCCAGCAATGCCGTCATCCCCAGAAGGCATGCTTAGAACATAATGGCTCTCGCTACAAATTCTATTAACTCTAATAGTTGTTCTGTGGTGAATGGATAATGCGTTTAGCAGAAATAGACCCAATCAATTTATATGAAACACATAAAACTTTCTCATTGGAATTGGCATCTGTTCTTGAATCACAGGAGCGTATGTGGGAACGGACAGCCTGTCACCCTCACTTCTGGGCACATTCACCGTGTCCTGGGTTAATTAGAGAGCTGGGCCAGGTAACACTCGGGCTCCCTTACGCCATACCCTTCACCCTCAGACCACGGACTGGGGACGGGGAAGGACGTGGAGACTGTCTACTTCAAACCTTGACTTTAAAAAATACCAGTTTTCCCGCCCTTGTCTGTGTTCACGTTGGCCCCTCTTACATGAGCTCTGTTCTCTGTTATCTGGTGACACGTCCAGGCACCAAACGAGGGACGCCCAGGATCACAGCTGGCTAGTTCAGGCCCCCCCCACCCCCACACCCCCCAGGCCAGGCCCAGGGGTTCTGACTCCCGTCTAGTGCTCTTTTCATGACCCCACTCAGAAAATGGTAAACCAACTGTCACCAACCAACTCGGAGGCAAGACTGTGGTTTGAGCCAGGACTCCATGAATTGTGGTGACTTGTGGGTTGGGCCCAAGGTTCAGGCCGGTTCTCAATTAGACTGAGCAGATCCCTTTCCACTCTCCCTACACAGCCCGAGGAGAGAGGGGTACGGAAGCGGAGGCAGGTCACAGGACAGGGGTCCCACCTGTCCTTACCTGGGCTTTCAGAGAGAGACAGGATGGCGAGCCTGCTCCCACCGCCTCACCACTAATGCTCATTAGAGAGAGAGGGAGAGCGCCCGGAGCTCAGTGATTGCATTATCCCAACCATTTGGTTAGTGTAATTGTATGTGCAAAGCTGACAAATGTAATTTTCTCAGACTTAATACTTGTCCCATCTTCTGTTTTTTTTTTCTGATTAGCTAGTGACTCAGGCTTCCGAGAATGCTTCGTGAGGCACCTGGCCGGGCTTTTCCCTGCCAGGCCCTCATTGGAGGGGACGGCTGGCTGGAGGGGGGCAGTGAGGGCGGGGGGAGAGATGAGGTGTATTTAGGGAGATTTGGAAGCTCTGTGAGTGAGTCTCCCGAAACTGCCTCGGTGTTTCCAGGCGATGCCCTAGCCAGCCGCCCTGTTCCAGCCCAGCAGAAACAGACAGCGCTGAACTTTGGCAGGAAAATCTTATCTTGTCTCCTCTGACAATTGATTTGTTTACTGATCATGCAGGGGCTCTCAACTGGGACGCACTCCCCCTCTTTGCATTTTTGGTGTTGATCTGTGGGTTGGAGACTTGGATACTCAGAAGTAGCTCAGCTGGCTGAAATAAAATGTAGATTTCAGGTCCCCTTCCTTACCAGCTGTGGGCCACGTACATTCTTCCAGATCATCTTCCTCCTCCCTACAGTGGGAACAGCAGTAGCTGGCCCTGGGCAGTGAGGATGGGAGGAGCTGACATGTGGAACACCCTAGCCAGGGTCAGGTGTGCTCATGGATTACTCCTTTCCTTCCCTTGCCCCCGGGGCCCCAGCCCTCCTGTCCTCTCTAGGGGGCCTCCCAGGTAGGAGCTCTAAGTTTGGGTTAAGTTGTAGGCTGTGATCTCCCCGTTCCCAGGCCACTTGGCTCCCTTGGGCCAGAAGCTCCAGAGCAATGAGTACGTGGCCCACAGCTGGTAAGGAAGGGGACCTGAAATCTACATTTTTTTTTCCCCCCTGTTGTGCTGGTCGCATGGAAGGTGGGTGTCAGGCCAGTGTTTGCCTGGTGATTGTTTGAGTGGGTGTGGCCCTGACCTAGGCCTCTCCATGAGCCCGTTGGACCCCTCCTCCTCCAGGATCCTCCTCCTCCAGGATCCTCCTCCTCCAGGACCCTCCTCCTCCAGGACCCTCCTCCTCCAGGACCCTCCTTTGCAGCACTTCTCTCCCATAGGCATGTAACTGGACGTAATCATTGTCTACCTGTTCTCTCTTTTCTAATCTGTGAGTTCTCTGAGCTCCTGGCTTGGATCTGGTCCTGCTCAGCATTTCTGAGCACTGGCCTGCCCTCAGAGGAGTCTGCTGGAACTGTGGGCTCAACATGGATCCAGGGGCAGCCAGCCTCCTCTCCCTGACCGTGAGCCTGAGTCCTGGCCGGTGCTGATGTAGAGGGCCCAGTGGACCTGCTCCCCTCCCCCTATAAATCCTCTTGATGAAGACAGAGGCACCGCCACCACACACCACTAGGATCCACAGCAAGGTGGGACTGGGAGTCTGTCAGGCTGGGGGAGAGATGCCTCCCGCTACTGAAACACAGCAGGGGAAGGGGAGTTGGGAGCCTGCCTCGGCTTCTCCCTCACCCGAGCTGCTCCCTGATGTGGCAGTGGGTCCTGGGGAAGCACTAGCTCTTTATTGGGTTCTCTAAAGCCTACTAAGGAGCCTACTGAGGCTGAGTGTCTTCTTCCCTTTGAGTTGGGGTTGCTTCAGAAGGGGGTCTGAAGACCCAGCGCTGACCCACAGCCATCTGCCCATCACCCTGCTCTGAGGCTGGGCCGCTCAGTAGAGGAAGCTGTGTTCTAGCCATTGTCATCTCCAGCCTCTCAGGCAGCCACTCACTTCTAATTTTATCTGGAGGTGGAAGGGGAAACCAACGCTTTTGAGCCGCTGTGCGATTTCATTAGTCTGAGTGGCCACTGGCCAGGCCCTTATCGATCAGCCCTGTAGGGACAGTGGGAGTTTATATGGCAATAAACCCGAGTCAGGCTGGGTGATGGCAGGTTTCTGAATGCCGGCTGCAGGGGAGCCAGCAGCTGACATCTGAGAACCGAGCTCAACATTAAGTGCCTACCAGTCGATCAGTAAGTGTTTCCGGAACTCCCGCCATGTACCCAGTGCTGGTGGTTAGGCAGGCGGTGGCTTGCCGTGACGTTTGCTTAGTATGTCCTGAATCTATCGCAGGAGCCATGGTTGACCAAGGGCTGGGAAGTCAGGGGGTACTTTCTCCTGTCTGGGATGAGGTGCAGGGAAGACCGCTCAACAATGAAAGCAGGTCCTCCTTCGTGTTAGACGGTTTCATGAGCCATGAACCATGAGGCAGGGGTGGGAAACAGAGACTGCGGTGTGGAAAACTGGAAAGGTATTTTGAGGTTCCAGTTAAAGGAGAAGAGAGGAAGGGGGAGGTAATGGGAAAAGCCATGAATTCTTTCCCTGGTCTGGCGCTGCGAGGTCAGGCAGGAGCGAGGATGGGATAGTTAGTCCTTTGGTAGCTTTTCGGAGGAAAGGAAGAATGTCTTCAAACACAAAGCAAAGCTAATACTTAATACGTTGAGAGTCAATGGATTCAATGTAATTTGCAGCAAATAAGGATTTCACATTTATAAGTAGAAATGAGAGATTTATCATTTATCTATCGGTATTACCTTTTACAGGAGGAAGAGTGTGGTGAATGGTGTGCTGTGCTCCTGCATCTCCAGGTTACTCATGTTGAAAGAGGCCTCAGTGCCCAGGCCCATCGCCCACCTGGGGAACCCTGACCTGCGGGTGTGGCCCAGAGGCCTTCATCCGCTTCCCTGGGGCTGGCTCACAGAGCTAATAACTGCTGAGGAACATCATGCTGGGGCTTGAGACCAATCCTAAATGATGCCCTGTACAAAGAGTAGCTGAGAAGTCACTGCCGTGGTTTAGGGCACGAGGCTGAAGAGGCCTGTGTTGGAAGCGGCAGAGGCCCCTTGAGCGATCCTTCATCCCGGGACTGCTGAATCAAGCAACAATGAGGGGAGCCAAGCTCTGGGGAAATGTGTTGGACCTGATGCTCTGGGGGCTTTACCCATGATGGGCGAGGCTGCCTTCCTGCAACAGATGACCTTGGGCTTGGGCCAATCCTCTTTATGTGGAGGAAAGATCTGAGGGAAGGTTTGCTTTGTTCAGTGAATGGAGACTGGTGTCAAGGGGCTGAGGTGAGGAGAGGTCACCAGCCTGGTTCTCTGCTTGTGCCAGGGCCTGGGTGTTCCCCGTGCATGGAGGAGTGCTCCTTCTCACACCTTTCAGAAGCTCTGTAGTAAGAGGACCAGCTTCTTCTTGGAGCCCCATAGCCAAAGTGCAAGCAATGTCCCTTATAAAGGTTAACATCTTATTCTTTAAACTTAGCTCCCCATCCCGATCATCGCACCCACCTTACTTCTGCCTTTTGCAACAAATAATCACTTTGCTCAAATTTGTAAGTTGCACCCTTACCTGTAGGGTCAAAGATGGGGGTCTCTCTTGGTGTATTTTCCCAGAGTTTCATCTCCTTGTTGGGGTTTCTCTCAAACAGATTTCTTGACTTGGGTGCTGTCTTCTGCAGCATCTTGTCCTCCCCACTGACTGGAATAGAGAAGACCCCATTGGTTAAGTGAGGCTCTGCTGTAAGGAGGTGAGCATGCCCCAGGGAAGGTGGGAGAAAGTGGCTTAGGTGAAGGAGGGACAGTGAGCCCGGGTAGTCAGGGTGGGAACAAGTGCCGGGGGCTGGGTGGACTCACTGGTGAGGTAGCAGTCCAGGCTGATGGAGATATTGTCAAAAGCCACGGTGGCTCTGGATCCTTGTCCCCACCATGCGACAATCTGCAGCCAGAACCTGTACATGTGTTAAGAGGAGTGTGTGTGAGGAACAGCCTGGATTGGCCACATCTTAGGACTCAGTGTCCAGCAAACAGGTGCCGAGACCCTGCTGATGATCAGGGTTCATCGGCCTTCCCTGTCTCAGACCGGCTGTACGAGGAAGCAGTCAACATCTCCCCCTACTTCTCCAGCACAACGCACTGCCCTCTCCGAGGGACTGTTCCACATGTTAATCCAATTTGGAATTTGGTGCTCAGGTCTAGAACTCCAGGAGGGGAGAGCTTTCCCTTTCTGGGTGTTCAGGGTGGGTAGACATGGGTAGGCCTGATGTTCCCAGCGGAGTTGAAGTCATTGTGAAAATACTGAAATGCTTCTGTACCAACTGAGAAAGAGCCACTGTTCCCTGACAGTCTCCTACCTGTTGCTGCAGGCTGCCCTGCTCCTTCCCTGGTGCCCCCTGGATTTCACACAGCGGGGGTATCAAGGATTTGGTGTCCAGCATCAGTTCCCACTGGGGTTGGTCTGTGTAGTGCCCAACTGGTTGTTAAATATTAAATGATTTGATTCTGAGCCTTGGGGGTGTTGGTAAACAACACAGAGTGGGCCATAAGCATTAACAATAAACACACTGAGATATCATCACTTTCCACCTCTCTCATAGCCTTGCAGGTCAAGGACTGTGGCCAGGGAAGCTTGAGAGTAGGCTAAAAAGGACACACCTTCAGTTCATTTGTCTCCTGGGGAGTCATCCTCCTGGAAGGCTGTCAGCCAGATCTTTCCTGCTGTGAAGTGAGAGTTTCCTGAGAGCTTTAAAAACCTTTTCCCCTTTCAAAGTCAATCCAGAATGACCTGCAGGAGGCTGTGCAGTCTCTGGTGTGGTGTTAAAATATCAAGAGAGGGAACCCATGCCCCAATGGGTGACTGAGTTAACCACATGTAGGATGGCCATTCCATGGAATGCCCCTCCCCAATACAAAAGGATGGACCAGATACAGGCTGTAAATTGGATGGAGCTGAAAAACATTATGCTGAGTTAAAGAGATCAGACTATAAGTTAAAGACCTCATGATTCCATTCATAGAAATTACTCTATATGAAACTAGAGGCCCAGTACACAAAATTTGTGCATGGGGGAGAGGGATCCACTCAGCCTGGCCTGCACCTGCTCACAGTCCAGGACCCCTTGGGGGATGTCTGACTACTAGCGTAGGCCCACTCCCCACTCCCGCCAGCACCGCTGTGCTCACCAGCTGTGAGCCCAGTTTCTGACTGAGCAGCACTCCCCCTGTGGGAGTGCACTGACCACCATGGGGCAGCTCCTGCATTGAGCATCTGACCTCTGGTGGTCAGTGTGCATCAAAGTGACTGGTTGTTCTGGTCATTCCGCCATAAGGGTCACTTAGGCTTTTATTATATAGATGTCTAGAATAGGCAATTCTATAGACAGAAAGCAGATCAATGGTTGCTTATGGCTGGGAGTCAGGACAGTATTGACTGAAAACCAGGCCAGGGTTCTTTCTGGGGTGATAACACTATTCTAACATTGGACTGGGGTGCTCTCTGTACAACTGTACATTTTCCAAAAGTCATCAACATGCACACCCGTAGCTCAATAAAGCTGTCAGTACAAAAAAGAGAGAGAAGGAACCCAGATAATAGAATGGGCAGCCAGGGGTAGCAAGAGCAGAAAACCAGCGTGTTGGCGGGAATGGGAGACTGACGGGTTGGAGACAGCGGGACAGAGAGGGCAGAGGAAGCACAAGACACAGGCCTATGGGGGATTCTAAGAGAAATCCGACAGGAATACTGAATTCAAGTTGCTTACTGTCTAATGGAGAGATGAAGAGTGTATACATACATCAGTGTAGATAGGTAGAGGGAAGTAAATGCCACATGAGGTGTGGGTAAAATCCTCTGAGAGCTCAGAGGAAGGAGGAAGTCCACCAGGCTGGGGAGGTGGGGAGCGTTTCTCAGGGCAGGTGGTATTTAAGTTGGTGTTGAAAAAAGAAAAGGACTCAAAGGTGTGGGGATGGAGGGCAGTGAGGAGAGGGCATTCTCAGTCGAGGAACTGAAGTGAGGGATGTGTCAGAGCAAGTCAGGGCCCCTCTGGCTCAGGTGTGAGAGGTATGGAAGGAGGTAGAGATGGTGAGAGGCACATGTGTATCACACACCTTCAGTGGCTTCTCCGAGTCTTGGCAAGATTACAGCTCTAGTTCCCCAGATCTCCATGGAGCACATGGTCCATAGTTGAGTTCCTGGCCTGGGCCTAGCTGTCTCAGGACACAGTAGGCAGAGCTGCCTGATGCTCCTACACAACTGTGGGTAAGGGGCCCACAGCTACCTTCCTGAGTCTCCCCTTTCTGATGAGGTCATCTCCTAATCTGACATCCATAGGCCAAGGGCCACGCTGGGCACTGATTTCAATGCTGAGCTGCATCATGGGTGTGCCATCCCTATGGGCCTGGGGTACCTGAGCCAGTAAATGATATATGTGTGCCCATCAAGCATGGGGAGAGAGGGACAAAAACTCCCGTTTTCCCCTAAATGGGCCCTTCTGGAGAAACTGAACATCTCCCCTCCTATCTGCTTTATTATCGAGAGATTAGAGCTGCAAAGTTCTCAACCAGCCACTGGAACTCTTAGCATGGACAACATGATGCAGGCTGGGGCCGGGATGGTTTCTAAATAGAAGAGTTTCTAAGTGTTTTGTAAGGCAACGGCGATGACAGCTGCTGTTTAAAAGAGTTTGATTGACACTTGAAATTGCACATATTTTGAGTCAGGAACACTCACAATAATCAGGGAAGACTCAATCAGATGTCGAATCAGATGTCGAATCAGCTGTAAACATGCGATGCTGCTTCTGTCTACCTAGGAAGCCAACCCATCCCTACAGGCTCCAGATTCCAGAGGCTACAGGGAAGGGGCAGGTGGGGGAATGGGTGTGGGTAGGGCAGGGGTGAAGCAGAGGCAGTTTGGGAATGGGGTCTGGGGATGGTAGGTGATGGGGCAGGAAGGAGACAGAAGAACCATCTAGGAGTTTCTTTTCTGTGGGGGCCACTGGCCAAGAGGTGGCCACTGGGGCCACCAGATTTAGGCTACTCTACTTTGCATGGTAGCTGGTTGTGGGTCTTTACCTGAACCTCAGGTGAAGAAGAGAGTGCTCCTGGCTCTGCTCAGCCTCTCCCTGATGGAGGTGGGTGAGGCTTCCTCAAGGCTCTCACAGTCGTTCTGGCCCAACCACTCTTTTCTGTTGACCGCACCCCAACCCAATGCAGATACCAGGCTACTCTCCAGAGTGGGCCATGGCCTCAGGCTTCAGTTCTGGCATGTGCCCCGGGGACTCCTCTGGGATGAAGAGGAAGTTCTAGCAGGTACTGGGCTGAGTGCTCCGGGTCCGAGGGCAAGTTCTAGCAGGTACCAGGTGAGCTGCTCTGGGTTTGAGGGAAAGCCAGGTCCATTCCTGTCAGGATCGCAGGGGCCAGGTGGTGTAATGAACATACAGGTTACTCTGCTGCCCCTTCCCCAAAGCCTTAGCTGTGTGTGGGGGAAGGGAGCCGAGCCCCCATGGCCAGAAAAGCCATGCCCTCCCTCTCCGTGGGCAGCTGGGCAGGGAGAAAGGAAGAGGCAGCTCTTTGGGCTCCTCCAGCTCCCTCACTGATCTGTGCTTCTTAAGATGGTGGTAGCTGAGCTCCCTCTTTCTAGCCCTCAGCATTGCAGACTTCACTCCCTGCCCTTCAATGGTTCACAACTGCTCAACTCTTTTGGTTTCTCCAAAGAAGGCACTTTTAATTGAATGGGCTGTTGTTGCTTTTTCTCTTTTTTTCCAACTGTTGGAGTTGGCTAAAACAGATCTGGCTGGATATCCTGGTTGGAGCCTGGCTTTTCATAAAGAATGCGACCCTGGCTCCTGGCTGCTCAGCTTTACAAAGAGGCCTGTTGAAAGTTGGCCCCAGGGGATTCTAGAAGGTGGCCATCGGGACAGTGGGCGAGGCTAAGAGGGGTGGCCTTGGAATTGGGCGTCTCCCAGATTCCAGGCAGATCTCTGTGTAGAAAGTGCTGATGCTGCTCACGCACAGCTTGAAAAACGCTCAATCTAGTTTAGATCACAGACCACTAATGGACAGTGAATGTAACGCCTTATTTGCCACCCTGCCAGCCTTAGGGGCTGACAAAGCTAATTAAGTTCACTTCATGATTTTAAGTAGCTGACGAAAAGGTGTGTCTGAATGTGGACCAAGGGAATGGGAATTATTTGGAGAGAGGACAAGACAGAATGGCTGGACTGGGTAAAGGCATTTGACAGATGGGCCGCATGTCTCAGATTCCTCTGTCAACCACCAGTGGGCTCGGAAGGAGGGAGTGCCCAGCACCCCTCTTGCTGCTGAGGCTTGGCTGGGCTCTAGCTGTCTGGAGAGAGCTGGCACATTCTGCTGAGGAAAACCGCCTTCTCCGATGGCTCACTGCACAGTTGATTTGCTCGGTAAAGTATTCTAAAATGGACCGTCACAAAGCTTGGGTCGCACTATGCATTTCTATTAGAACAATGTATGTGACGGAAAAGCCCTGCTGAGTTCGCCCTATTGTCTGTGTAAATGACTTCAGTTACCATCAAAAAGGAGGGGCTGATGGCCAGCTTGGGGTTCCTGAGACCTGCATTGGCTGGGACCTAATGAACACACTGGGCTCATGAGAATCACCTTGTTCATGGCCAGGTGGTCCTAATGGACACACAGTGGAGCCCTGACTCGAGGAGTCTTTGGC